GCCAGGCAATTACATCACGGCCCCAGCCCTTGCTTCCAGCAAAAGTTTCTAGCAATTGTGGCTGCCGGGCGAGGGGAAAAAGGGCTTGAACGTGACCTGAGCGGAGCTGAGGGCACCCGCACCCGAACGGGCTGGCCGGTGGCAAAGAAGCTGGTTTGGTAGGAGGCAGCAGCAAACGCCCGACGTGATCGCCGGGAGCGGCTCAGCCTCACACCCGCAGCGGCGAATTTACCCCTGGATGAATCAAATCTGACTTTCTCAGGTTTCCAAAAGCCTGCCTGTCAGCGGCTCTGCCCGCTTGTCCGTGCACGGCCACCTTGGCGCGATCCGCTCCCGGTTCGTGCCTCCAGCGTTGCCTCTCCCTCGCTATGCCGTAGCCCAGACAGCGGCGCCTGCCCCAGCCTGCAGCCACGGCTGCTCCCCTGGCAGAAGGCACGTGCCCCGTTCAGCTCGCCGAGGTGTTAACCCTAAACCTCCCTGGGACCTTGGGAGCTGCACCCCGAGACAAGGCTGTGGGTCCAGGAGCAAAGGATGCTTCAGCGAGCCCCTGAGCAGCCACGGCAGCCTCTGGGGCCGGTGGAAGCGGCAGGCTGTAGCCCTGGGGAGGGCTCGACCACCACTGTCCCCTTTGGGCAGGCAGGAGGAGATCCCACGCTTTTCCCCTTATCCACAGATGTGTCATGTCTCTCCGTTTTGTGCAACTACCTTGCCCTTCGATAAGGCCTTCCTTGTGCAAGCATAAATCTTCAGATCAGATTTAATGACAAGGTGTTATTAATCCTGCTGGATAGATGGGGAAAGCAACACAAACAAAGGGGCCGTAACTTTCCACATGTCAACACACCCAGAGAAAGGCCGGGGGGGGCTGGAGCGGAGATGCTTCCTGAGAGCCCTGACCCCAGATGCTCCCACCCAGCCCCAGCAGGGGCCCGCGGGCTCCCTACCTTCATTCCTCCGGTTGTTGAGCTGGTTGAACTGCTCCGTGAACTCCGTCAGCGACTCCTCGATGGTCTCCGTCCGTGGAACCGAGAGCGAAAACCTCCGTTTGAAGTTTTTCATCTTGTTCATTTTCCCTTGTGCTGCGAGGGACGGCAGAGCCCTGCGGGGAAGGGGAGAGAGGAGGCTGAGAGGGCTGGACGGTGCACGGGACGGCCCCCCAGATCCTGCTCGTTGGGGCTGGCAGCATCCCGACCCGAATTTCCCCTGCTGGGGATCTGCAGGGGTCCCCAGGGACATCCACTTCTCCGAGACACGGCCGCTGTGTCAGAGCAATAGGGGAGCCACATGGTCACCAGGTTCCTCATGAATTTAAGAGCTGACTGCGGTCAAGAGGTGGAGGGGGCTTTCTCTGGGCTGCTTATCAGAGCTATGGACAATGAATCCCAAGTACCAACACAGGCTGCACCTTACAGCATCCTTGGAAACTCCAGGAACGCCTGGAACAGGGAAAAGCAGGGGAGGAATAGAAGGAAAGCAAGAAAGAGTAAACAGTGATGGAAAAGATTCAACAGCACGCTCCTCCCTGTACAAGGAGGCACCTCTCCCCCGGCAGTTTGGTCTCTGCTTTGCCCTTGCAAGAAAGTCTTCCTGAGCCAGCAGCAAAACGCTGAGTGGAGCCAGTACCGGCCGGGGGCATCGCTGAGAGCCACGGCAAGGGGAGATGCTTCAACCTCACAGCTTGCTCACAAGCTCTTGAATGACTCATCCTGTACGGGCATTAGAATCGCCTTAGCCAGGGATCTGATTAAAGCAATAAAACCCTTAAAGGAAGAAAACCCACAAGGGGCACATGGCGAAGCGTGCCGAGTCCCAGCAGCCACACGAGCAGGCTGAGGGAGCTCGCCCTGGGCGTCTGGGAGCCACACGCCGCTTTGCCTTCCCTCCTTTGGCTCTTGCCAGGCCTGTCTGGAGCTCAGCAGCGCAGACGGGACCGCGCTGCAAGAGCTGTGTGTGCAGAGTTTAGAATCAGAATCTCCTAGACTGGAAAAGACCTGTAAGATCATCTAGTCCAACCATTAACCCAACACTGCCAAGCCCACCACTAAACCATGTCTCTGAGCACTGTATCTACACGACCCTTAAATCCCTCCAGGGATGGGGACTGCACCGCTGCCCTGGGTAACGCGTTCCAACGCCTGATGACCCTCTCAGTAAAGAAATGCTTCCTAATATCCAACCTAAACTTCCCTTGGTGCAACTTGAACCCGTTTCCTCTTGTTCTATCACCCGGTACTTGTCAGAAGAGGTCAACTCCCACCTCTCTGCAACCTCCTTTCAGGGAGTTGTAGAGAGTGATAAGGTCTCCCCTCAGCCTCCCCTTCTCCAGGCTGAACAACCCCAGTGCCCTCAGCTGCTCCTCATCAGACATGTGCTCCAGACCCCTCACCAGTTTTGTTGCCCTTCTCTGGACACGCTCCAGCGCCTCAATGTCCTTCTTGTGGTGAGGGGCCCAAAACCGAACACAGTTTGGTCCTTAGCACCAGCCCCGCTGCACTCAGGTGCTATTCCTCCCACCGAGGACAGCCCGAGCGAACCGCCAGCGCTGCCCGGACCTGCAGACATCAGTGTCTCACCCCCAACCAGCCACAGCTCTGCCCCTTCCCGTCCCAGACCCGAGGAGGTTTGGGTCTGTCCCTCTCCCCGTCCCAATCCGATGAGTGCGGCGCAGCTCCTCCACCAGCCTTTATCGTCTCAACCCTCCAGCCTGTCTGGCGGGGGATTTTCCATTAACAGCGTGGACTCCTTCAACGCTACCTTCACCCACCAGCCCACGGAGGGATCTTAAAGGGAAAATCATCCTTTAGAAAAAAATAGGCTACACAGAGCGG